TTACTTCTTTTATTTGATGGAGTTCCAGAACTAGGTACTTCCATTTTATATATAGTACCTAGGCTTCCAATACTGGCTGAAAAATACTTTTAAACGTGATATTTGAAGTACAGCATCTCAATTTTGTGTGATATTACTCTCATGGATTACTGTAATTCACATATAAGTTAAGTTCTTTTTCAAGACTGCTCAGTTACTGAGTGAAACAGTTACATCACCTTTTTTTGGTTGTAGCTTTTCGTGTTTTACCATTGTTACTGCTTGTGTTGCTGTATTATAATAAATAGATTGAACCAAAATCCCAAGATAAATTCAGACATAACGATTCAAATTCAAATAAGACCCTTCCAAAACCTGATTTAAGCTCCCTTTCTACCTGTTTATATAGCCTTATATGTTATTCATTGCTACTGTGGCACAACTAGGAACATCATTGATTTCCATTCCTTCAGTTACCTTATGTGCAGAATAAACCTGGTTTATGCTGCATCTGGAACATGGAATGCCTGTCCGTTTCTGGTTCCCTGTTATTATCCTCATCTCATTCTTATATATAAAAACTAAATTCTGCAGCATACAGACAAACTTCCTGTTTTGTCCAAAACAAAAAAGCAGATGCATTAATTTCTGTGCATTTACAAGCAGTATGTAAGTTGCTTCTATTATTGGAACTTCTTGTTTAGTTTAATATTCTTGCTCTATCCTGTCTCAAATTTTATGCTGTAACCTCAAGTTTAGGATACTCTCTGTTACATGATTGTGTACCTTACTAAATGGCGTTAAAAGGAAAAAAAAACAGCAACCTTGTGAAATCCTTCGAATAGGATCGTTCTATTCAGTTTTGGCATTTAAAAAAAATGATTTGATCCTTGTGATGTCATGATTTCTGAACTAATGGATGGGCCAGGCAGTTTGAAATCTCTCACCAAAAATGCATATCCTCACATACTAGTTGTCTGTTACAGAAAATGACTTCTAAGTGATCAAAAGAGAAATTTTGGCAGTTTTTCATATGTGTAAAATTTAACTGTCATTTGTAGTCATTCCTCTTTTTTGCATTGTTGGTAATTCATTTCTTCAATGGAGATTGGGACTTTGAAGCATTTCAGTGTCTCATGCCACAGAGTAACTGCAGCAAGACTAAATACAATGTTTTCTCAGTGAATGTTGCTCATGGCCACTACAGGTAGGAATAAGCAGCCGGAGTTCCCTTTCATGTCACAAGAGGAAATTGAGGATGTTTTAAAGACCCACATGCAGGATTGTCCTGAAGAGCTTATTACAGAACTTGCTGAACATCTAATAAGGTAATTTCAGTAATTCAACTGGAGTTAGAAAGTCTGTGATTCATGTCAGATGAATCTTCTCTTCAATCTGTTTTCTTGCTTAGGAAAAAACATTTTACCGGTGGAAGTGAACCACAATATTCTTTTTCTGTACAGCTCCGTGTTACATACTTGCTCATGTATTAGAAAACCTTGCTGACACGGTAATGAGAAGTAGTTCTTCCGCTTAGCAGTAGATGGTTCTGCATCCTTTGTCAGCAAGCATATTTTCAGGTTCATGAGTGTATTTCCACCCCCTTACAGTGATCTATGTTGGAATTTCACCGGTCTCATCTTCTGTACAGCCCTTGTTATACATTCGTGTTGCCTGTCTTTTGTGGCTCCACTGGTACCTGTGTGAGCTGGGTAGTAAGCTAGGTCAGCGAACAGATCTAAGCAAAAACTATTAACATCTTTTAAAAGATGCTCCAAACAAGAGAGAGGATGTAAATATCTGTGTTCAGAGCAAAAAGGATATGATAGTACTGAACAACCCAAGCCTGGAATAAACTTGGAGAGCAATGGTAACTACATCTTTAGAAGGGCCTATGCTATTTTCATGCAACTTAAGTCTTCCCCTCTTACAGCTCTCATTGATCTGAAATTTGTCCACAGACTTCTGAAAGAGTTTGTGAATAGTGTTGCTTCTGGAAATCTTTTCTGTCTTTCATCTTGTTTCCTTTTAAGAGTTGTTATGAGTTAAAACTTTGGCAAGCACTTACGTGCCATACCTACTGTAACCAGTAGTACTTCTGCAATTACAAAACTACATTTTAAGTTCCTAGTGCTTTTTTTCTGATTTCAATTATTTGCTTTTTATGTATCTCACCAATCTATGACATTCATGTTCCATTCATTTACTGTGTAATGAGGTAGCTTCTCTGTTGCTGAAATATTTGGAAAAACTTAGAGTTTTACACCTTGCCTAATATTCCCTTTTTCTCCTTTCTTCTTCCCTGTTCTAAGACCTTTAACAAAAACTTATCAGGAAGTTGTACGTTCTGTTTTTACGTCTTCAATATCTTCCGGTGGAGCTAGCAGAAGACAGACTATGAAGGACTTGCAGGAGGAATTCTCAAACTTGTACAACAACATTCGGTTATTTGAAAAAGGAACAAAGCATTTCACAGGTACAATAAATATATACTTTAAAAAATGAATGTACTTCTTGAAGATGTTAAATTTATACCAGAATCTACATTCAAGGTCAAAAAAGAGCAGCAGTGTAGAAAGGAAAGACTTAGAGATGTGTTTACACTGCCTAACACTGGCCTTCTGCTCGAGAGCACTTATTGAAATACTTTATTTCATACCCATATATGTCATATCTTTTGTCAAGATAATTGTGGGTTCTTGTCTTTCTTTCCAAAGTGTTTGCATCTGTTCCCAGTTTTTATTGTATGGGGAAAATGAAAAGAAAAAAAAAAATATTAGTAAGCTTACTTCATTCTGTGACCTGTGCCACTAATGAAAGAATTGAATACTACCTGATTCTTAGAAGCCCCCATTAAAACCTCTTTTAGGTTTCATACTGAAAGTAGCTGCTCTTTGAAGGTAGTTTTTCAAAAAGGTGTAGATTCATTTTACAGCGGGTTACTTTGTAAGATGTCTTAACTACCTATGTTTTGTGACCGAAAAATAGAATTAGGAACATATTGTAGGCATTTCCAAGATTCTCAGCTGTGTTCAGCTTTCTTCGAGAACTTTCACTGTGGAAAACTTAACAACAAAAGGAAACACTAGCAAAAATACGGTGATATGTTTAGGAATAAATGGAATTATTTCCCATTAGCCTCTCTTCTTGTACATGTGTTCTGTAGCCTCTTTTTTTTTCTAAAATTCTACTGTTTCAGTCTTAAGTCATGTGCCTGCTCTTCCACTTAACTGATTATCCTGTAGACTTTTCATCTACATATTGTTTACTTGTTGGTGTATGTATGAGTCTATGGTGGAGAGCAGTGGTTGTTCATTAGTGGTTCAGGAGGATTGTACAGGGACTACTTTACTGCTTATGCAGATACACCTTTGAAATACTAACAGTGCATCAAAATGCAGTTACGGACCTGAAAGCTCATATTTTTCACTGAAGAATGTTCCATAAGCAACTGCAAATGTTAGGGATGTTAGCTTCATGTATCCAGATAACTTTCTCTACTACTACTACAACGTGGATAGAGTCCAGGTTTTAGCAAGTGCTGTTGTAACTGTCACAGGAATCAGATAACTATAAGTTGCTTTTAATCACTTAACTTCTTTTGGCAGATGAGACTCAGACTAACCTTGCCAAGCACCTGTTGAAGACTGTCTGTACAGATATTACAAACCTTATTTTCAACTTCCTAGCATCTGATTCTATGATGACAACAGAAAATTACTCTACAATCACAAGTGAGGTACACAGATAACAGCTCCTTTTTAACAGTCTCAAGTAGATCAATGATGTTTATTTCATATTTAATTATTTTCTGTTTAAACATGCCTACAGCTAAATGGTAATTAATATTGTGGATTATTTCCATTCTTGACTCATGCAGGGTCGGACCAAGATTTTAGGTAAATTGCCAGAAGACACCAAAGGTCCTTTAACTAAACTGCATACTTCTCTGAATGGCAAGGTAAAGTGATCCAGAATCTTCGAGTTAGATTTTCCATTCTGCTGATAGAATGCTAATAAACAGATGACCTACATAGTGTAGTACATAGCAGCTGCTGCTGTGAAGGATGAAGGCAAAATAATCTTTTGAATTTGTGTAAGTCAGTGAGAGTAAGTACATTTTCATATCTGTGAATTTTAAGAGGTGAAAAGGTGATCTTACATTTTGATACTGATTCTAGATGCAATCCAGTGCATCTTTTATGTCCACATGAGAAAAGTTAAAGCTGAGAGAGAATCTACAGTTTAAAGAGGTTGATGTTTCTTGTATTTTGTTTCTGAAGTTCCTGATTGTTGTCCCATGTGTTTCTTAACAAGTAAAATGCTGGATATTTTTAAAAAAGTGCTTCAGATTATGGCAGTGTAAGTACAAAGGAAAGTAATTTATTAATTATTTTATGCAAAAGGCCATACTGATATGTTTCTTGAGAAAAAAATTATGTGTAAATAATTGTAGAACATGTATTCCTCTTTTAATTCCATTTTTAAAACTAATGGATTATAGGGTTTTTTAGTATTTAAGTATATGAACTATTGGAAGATAAATTAAATTAATTTCTACTAAATATTTTTACTTCTTTTCTTCCATAGTTTATTCCAAATGTGTTCACAGTCATCTGTTTGTGTGATTAATTGTGAACAGTAGTTAACCTTCTTTATAATCTGCCAACACAGATTAAATATTTATATTATTTTTTAATAGAGTGTAGAAGATTTTCTTTCATGCCTTGATTCTGCAGTGGATATTTGTGGTATTATGGTGAAAAAAGGAGACAAAAAGAAGGAAAGGTACCTTAATTTTATTTATTCTATGCACTGTATGCTAAATGTAGCTCTGCTGCTGCATAAATGTCAGATGGTTAGTTTGGTAGCAGTCACACAGAATGTGTTAAGAAAGAGACAGTCTTTCTTTCCAAACTGTTTTATCTGAAAAATACAAAGCCAAGCAGTTCTAATTCCATGGGAGAAGGAAGTTCATATATAGGTAATTCGCTTGACTGACTGCTTACTTGTGAAATTTCACATGAAGAACTAGTCAGTCAGAGGATAAAAATAAAATTAATTGAATGATTAAGATATGTTTTCGAGTCTATTATCAACTACTGCAAGAGAAAACAAGAAACATATTTTTATGTAATGTGTTCCTGTTCCTTAGGCAAGTCCTGTTTCAGCATAGACAAGCTCTGATTGAACAGCTAAAAGTCACAGAAGATCCAGCTCTTGTTCTGCACCTGACATCAGTGCTGTTATTTCAGTTTTCGACCCACTGTATGCTTCATGCACCAGGAAGATCAGTACCACAGATCATTAATTTCCTAAGTGGCAAGATCCCAGAGGTATTCATTTCTAGCTTTTTAAGGGAAAAGTATGACTATGGACATAAAAGTTGTGCCTTATGCTATTTCTGCTGCATAAGACTGGCACCTTTGTGTTTCATGTCTGATCATTACTTTATATACAGCATATGTAAGTTCTCTGATCCGTAGTGTTTCAAACGTGTCATTTCAGGGATCTGTCTTCAATGTTTTTTTAATAAAATTAAAAGTCAATCTGTTATTAGTACTGTAACTTTTGCCTTTATCTGTAGACACAGCTATGTTTTGGGGGTGTAACTGAAGTTTTTTACTCTCTTTCCTTCCAGCTAGAGGATGGTTGCTTTTTAAACTTATCTAATTCAGTTTTAAAGAAAGATGTACCTCTTCAAAAATAAAAATATTGAAATTCTGTATTCTAATCTGCCAAAACTGGTGATCTTTACTAACTGCATTGCTTTCCTGCTTCAGTGATTACTTGTCCTGGTTTGCAGCATGGATACACTTTCATTTTTCTGCCTCTTTGAATGTCTCTCAGAATTTAGGTTGCAAAATAACTTGATAGAGATATATTTACCTATCACTAACCCTCTTTAGGCAAGAATGGGAGAATGCTTTTTTAAAAATTTGATCTTTAATTAAAGGTCTGTATACCTTCTCCATAACATTGACATTCCTTTGTTTTGTTTTGCTTTTTCCCCTCAGGATCAGCATTCTCTGTTAGTCAAATACCAGGGATTAGTAGTGAAACAATTGATCAGCCAGACTAAGAAAACTGAACAGGGAGACTGTGACACAACAGATAACCTGGAAGAGGAGGAAGGATCAGATACCATTCGAAAAGAGCTCCAGGAAATCACTACCTCTATCAAGGATCTTGTTCTCAGACCTAGGAAATCTTCTGTAACAGAGGAATGAAATTATTATTCAGTGTATCCACATCCACGATACAGTCAGAATTTTTTTTTACCCTGAAGGGAAGGATAGCAGAAAATACTTGACAAGCTTTAAAATTTGGCTTCTAACAATTACAGATCACAGCCAGGGGACACGGTTGTTTGGTGATGGTAACAAATGGAGTTTTGTTGTGTACTACTACAGTGTACGTGTAACACACATTAAATGTAGATGCGACAGAGCACAGTTTCAGTCGTTTTGGGTATGAAACGAGTGGGTTTTAATTGGCATCTTCATGCGAGGTCTCAGGAAATGCTTATTCTTTAAATAACAGTGTATTCTGTTCCATACACTCACAGGCTTACAGTTTTACTTCTCTGATTGGGATTTATAGGGATCTGAGGATTGCATATAACTGTATATAAGCCTGTATATCTTAATTTCAAAGACCAGTTTTGAAACATATACTGATACCTAATAGTATATCAATTAAAGGCCATCTTTACTTTTTGATATCATTAGTGGATGTTTCCAGCTTCTCTTCACTGGACCGAAACAGTAAAAACATTGAGTGCAAGTGTATATTGCTAAACTTAAAAGAAGTGATTCAGTACTAATGTGAGTTTCTAAATTTACTGTAAGCTTATGAAAATCAGCACAGTCATGCTATTAATGTATTCTGTTAATGTCTGTAATAGCAGCTTGTTTAAAACTTGTAATTGGGACAGAGGAGGTGATACTACCCTTTGCACTAGTATTTTGGGAGTGGGTAAATACTGTTATGCCTGCCATATTTTTCACGCTATATGTTCATTCAGCAGACTTGCTGAGTTCTTAGTCCAGTTCCCATAGCAGTTAGAAGCGCTTGCTTGCATTCTGTCAGCTCCTTGAGAGAACTTATGGTATTCTGTTTATCCTGAGTTTCTTGAAAACAATTTAGTTTATGATTTTTCTACATACATTTTATAGACCAAAATATTGGCTAAAGCGGTCCCCTCAAGTTTTTTACCAGCCTTATTTTTACATGACCGGTACTTTATGTCTTCAGGAAAGTGGAAAAATGTGTAAAATAGAGTTCTCCCACTGTCAAAGACATGATTCTTGTATGTCAAATGTACTTCTGACTTAATTTTAAGAGAAGATAGTTCTAGTGATTTCAAACAGGAAATGTTTTAATCGTATTGTTTCAGTAATGCCCATTGATTTCATGTGTGTAATTTCAGATTTTTGCATAAAATCAAGTTTGAGTAGTAAGACAAGAGAGTTGTTTTCACTAAAAATGTTATTCACCCATTCTTAACCAAAATTCTTTGATGCTGAAAGAAACCATATTCTGTGCAAGCCCTACTCTGTTCAAATATTTCTATTTTCCAACATTACATGTATTCTATAAGCTTAATCAATGATTTCCAAGCCTGAAACTGCAACAAATTAAAGGTGAAGAGGCCAAGTATGGAAGCTCAGTAACAGATTAACCAAGGTTAAATTAATATTGGTAAGGTAAAAAATTGAATGTTATACGTATATAAAATGCAGTAACGTTCAACAGTGTTCACATCAATGCTGATCTTTTACCAACTGACAGGCAAAACGGTTTGCCAGTGGTAAGGCAAAGGTCCTTGTTTCTCTTTCCTGGCTGGAGGCTGTCATAGCTGACAATAAAGGACAACGAGGAGCAAGAGATGAAAAATATTCAGACCGTTTAAGAAATAGTTTGCGTACAGGGAAGAGGTTTGATTTGTTGTTAGTTAGCCAGAATAATTATGAAATTCCTGTGCTGAATGCAGACAGTTTTATATGCCGTTGAGCTATTTTTTAAATAATATGCCATGTGACATTCTGTATGCAAATATGAAATTATTTTAATAATATTAAATGATGAAGTATTTAAAATGCATTCTGTTGCCTTAGCCAATGGTTGATCGTCTTGCAACTTGCAGCTTTCAGACAGCAATTGGTAATATGCACCAGTTGATTTAACATACCATTCTGAGGTTTTTTGATATTGTTTTATGCTGGAATAATAATGAAATTTTTATAAAATTCACTATATCGTGTTAGGCTTGCTATATTGTAGTCAATGTTACAAGAATGATTTAAAAAGTATATTCTTTAAAGTAGATATGAGGGCAGCACTAAAATTCAGAGATATCTTCTGGCTACTAACAAAATTCAAAGAGGCATAGATTGGAAAACCTTTCCAGATATTTATTTTTGTCTCCTAGAAGTGGAAAATCAGTCTTTATGAAATAGAAGTATTTTGAAAGAGAAAGGAAATGAATATTCACAATTTCCTGAATATTTTGCTAATTTATAGGTTTTTTCCTCTTCCTGTGAGGAATGTATGCAGGACAAAGAGTAATCTTATCTTGGAAGTTAGAAGTTCAGTTCGCAAAACAAAACTGCCCTTTGGCAAATGAAAGGCAATACAAAATATACAAATTAGCACTTTTACTTTGGTTTTAAGTATTTAGTGTCAGCCTCTCGTGCCCTTCACCTGTGGTATTTAAACACCACCGTTACGTTTGTATAGACTTCTAAAACTGACGTGTATATGTGCATGTTTGTATATGTACACAAATATTTATAAATATGCCTCATTTGCTGCTACTCAGCAAATTGGGATGGTAGAATAATATCTTTCTCAGCAACAGCCTTTCCTTTCCCTGTTTTTAAGTGGCAAAATGTGGCTTTTGTAGCTGGTTATTTGCAAGTCTGCTGGAAATAAGCAAACTGTTGCTCTGTTAGAACTCACAGCCTTCTTTTCATTTCTCTTGTTTCACAGCTTCTTAACAACAACAACAACAAAAATAATTGGCACTAGTTTTTAAGTAATAGCACTGGGATTTGTTGTCTGCATGAATCCATCTTACAGCCTGTTCAGATGAAACTGCAGTACTTCTCTGTGTAGGCTCATGAGCAGGCTACTGATGCAGTGGTGGCTCCTTGAATATTTTTTTGATGAAGTAACAGTTATGTTTTCCTTAGGCAATGAAAATGGGAATTTCTGTAAAACTGAATAGATTTTGGGGGGTTTTAATAGGAAGTTTAGTACTCATGCAGAAGACACGAGTGTACTGAGTCAGATAGAAGGTCTGCGTAACCCAGTATTGTGTCTCCAGCAGAGGCCAAAAGTGGATGCCAAGGGAGGAATACAAGAACAAAGCATGTAGTGGGTTTTCCCTTGAGTGCTTTCTGAGCCTCCAAATATGTGCTACTCAAACTTTTTGAGTGATGATTGTACTTTAAACATAGAAAATAGTAATTATCTGAAGCTTTTGGATAAACAGGATACTTTAGAGAGCAGAATTCCTTTCTCTGCTGACCCAAATAACCCATAATACAGAATATATTCAGTAAATGCCAAAGATGTTTTCTCAGGAAAACAAGTTATTTATTTATCTTCTTCTTTTTTTTTTTTTTTTTAGGAATTGTTAAGGAATGACATATTTTTTTTTTTTTTTTTAGTTAAAGAAAATAATAATCTGAATTGGGAAGAGACAACTTGAGTAGTTTAAAGAGAAACTGAATTTAAGGAGTTGATGAATTTTCCATATCCTCAATGTGAAGAGGAAGCTAGGTCAAGGCAGTTCATATCTGGGGGCAGAGGAAATAATCTGCTTTCTATTTCAAGAAGTTCAGGAAGAGATGTGAGAGCTGTAGTAGACATCATCTAACTGATACTCTGAAGAAGCAGCAAAATTTTTGTTGACATCTTCAGTTCTACTCGATTTGCATCTTTTGGCAAAACCCCTCATTCTGTTTTAAAGGCTTCTCTGGGCACATCTTCTATTAACGTAGTTATGATCTCCATCTGCAGTTAGACTAATTTGAGGATAGTCTTTGAAGTTTAAGGAAAGTGATATGCTGGAGGAGGTGTCTGCTTCTCATCCTTTCTGGAAAGAACTTACTGCATTAGAATTATCTCTAAGTGTCATTAGCTCTTTTGACAGACCTGTTTGGGTAATACTTTTGTCTTGCTCTGGTTAGTGAACTTCAGAAGGTACTTGTTCAAGAATCATAATTTCATTTTTCACTTTCTGGAAGTAACGGCAAGAGGAAGCTATTCATGATTCTCATTCTGGGCTCTAATTCACATGTAACTTGTCCTCTCCTCAACCTGCAAAAATCACAAGCTTGAAAAATGTATAGCTCATGCAAAACAGGAGAAAAGCGTTCAATCTAGTTTAAGTATATGACAAAATAAGTGTCTGCAGAGGTTTAATAAACCAGCCAGCCACAGGTAGAGATGGTCAATTCTTGGCAATAATAATCAGAGGATGAGTCTTAATGGCAAGATGCTACCTAGGTACAGATAACCTCCAGAACATGTCCAGATTTGACCATTTTACAGAAGCCTTCAGATAATGTAATACACCTTTAAACCATTCAAACCTTTCCTTCTTTCTTCTATCTGTGATACAAAACATCTCCCACCCACTTGACATTATAGACTACATGATTCAGATCTATTGGCTCTTGGTTATGGAAAAATCTGTCCGGAGGTCGGCAGTGGTTCATACCACAAGCAGCCATCCTTCTTTTCGCTCTGTTTCACTTCATGCTACATTTTTAAGTGGCCCCAATATTCTTACCTTCAGCTGGGATTGATTAAAGCTCCGCATAGAGTGTTGCGCAAAGTACGAGCACTTCTGTGTGCTCCGTGCACGCGGCAGACTGGCTGTGGAAGTCAGCTGGCCCCTGCTCTGTCCGAGCCAAAAGTGCAAGAGATGGCTGCAAATCAGAGAGGGCTGGGTCTGAGAAACACTGAGACAGAGAGAACCTGGAGGAGGCCCTTGCTGCTGCTTTGACCCTAACAGCACATGGACACCTTCCTGCCTGCTGGAGGAGCAGCAAATTGTTCCAGCCCAGAAAATGCCTCAGGAGTGTCAGAGGAGTTCTGCTGGGGCCACAAAAGTCTTCCCTGAAATTGAAGGAGTATTTCTCCCTACCCCCCATTTCCTGTATACAACAAACAGACTTCAGTAATCACCACTTTTATATTTCTTCTCTGATTCACAAGCCCACAAGAGGTCTTTTAGATTCAGTGTGCATGGACCAAAGTATATCTGGGAATGAACGATGATCCATCTTTTTTCCTTGTCTAAAAGAGTTTGAGGCTTGGGGGTTTTGATTCCTTAGTTTTTTAACAGAAATGCCTTTTTCATTTTGACAACTATCTGAAATATGTTCCTTTAAGAACCTCCTACATGGTATGTGTTTGCAATTTGTAAACACAGTTATGTGGAAGAATGATTTGATTCAGTGGTGAGGCAGACAGCTATTTGCATGTCATGAGGTCTAAGGGAAACAAACTGACCCTCAGCCTTCCTCAGCCAGCCAAATTCTAATGGGACCCTCAAATAGCTCTGGCAAAGGGTTCTGTTTCTTTTGGACTTGATGAATGCTTGTTTCTGTGAAGACGTGTAATTATTTCTTCCTTTATTTCGCTGCACAAGTTACCAAGAGAAGGAGCTTAAAACCAGATGTGAGTATTGAGGCTGTTTTCCATTATTCCTTTATTTCATAGTGTTTAAATGTGGTAGTATACAAGGTACCTAATTTAACATTTTGAGCAAGTAAGCGGGAACTTTTTTCTTCAGACACAAAATTGCTAATTAAGTTAGATGCAGAATTCTTCATATGCATTTTTATTTATTTATTTTGCATACCAAAAGAGATACCACACTTATTCTGGACGCAATTGTTTCCATTTTATTGATGGGCTCTCTCATTAATTTACAGGAAGATTGTTCAGGGTTTCCTTTGTAATGCGATGAGGATTAATTTTGTTTACTCCAAAGAACAAGTCAACAAAAAAAAAGTGTATGCTATTTGCTGTGACATTTGAATCACCGTTTTTATATCTTAGCAAGCTTTCATAGCTCTTTGCTATTGCAAGAAAACTTTCTAGATAGTGTCTTTTCTCATAAGGGAAGTCACTTGTTGTAGCGTAACTAACTTTAATGCCTAACATGGATTGTTCTTGCCTTTTTTTGAAGTAAAACCAGTTTCCAAGCTGGTGTTTGTAACAGTATTTCGACTTGTTATAAAAATCATGTATCATCTCCAGATTATCTCTCCTTCAGACACTATTTTATCTTTTAGCTATCACATTTTTAGGATCATAATTCTGATTTGGAATTTGAAGGGAAAGAGTAGCATTGTAAAGATACACCACTGTTTACCGTAATGGTGCTGGAAACATGTTCCTGTATTGCAGAATTAAAGAAGAAGTATGGGTAATGGGGGAAATATTCCTTAACTTAAAGTCTGTGTATATTAATTGTACTGCTACCCGATTTCATAATGGCAGTCTTTTTGATAATGAGGTTATAATTAAATTTGGACAAAACTATCAAATATAATTTCCATTTTAATAATACAAATGTTTGAAAATATATTTCTTTAGCTCTCTGTTTTCAAAAGATCTGGTTTTATGACAAGCTGAGCACAAAATCTCTTATATTTAGAAAACAAATTTCAGATGCCTTTTTTTTTGTTTTTGTTTAATATTTTCACCCGTATTTTTCTTCTGTTTGTGTGATGAGCTGACATTTCTAGATTATTTTAGCAGAACAGGCTGTAACTGGTTTAATATATTAACGTTATAACAGATTGCTGATGGTCTTGCCATGTACTAAAATGTCACAAAAGTCACTTTGATTCAAAGTTGTGTAATAAGTAGAAACTTAAGATGGCGTGTGAACCTTCTGTAAGAGTAGAGCAAAATGAAATCAAAAGCTGCTTGAAAGATATTTTGATCAGCTGTGACCTGTGGTCCAGGTTATTTGCAGGCAGTCATATTTGACAAATTGTATATTTTTGTTTGACTTGGTAAGACAGATGTTCTGTGGGCTATATACCAATAAGCCCAGTTTTCTTCATTTTTTTCCATATCTGAGTTTTACTTCTCAAAAAACGTTGAAAACTTTTATTATTACCTAACCGTTGTCAGACAGAAAGAAATGTTAAAATCTTAACCAGTGTGCTTCCAAATGTCAAGCCCAAAATCAGAAGGTGAAATTCAGACCCTGTTCAAATGAGCAGCCCTCCTGCCGACTAAACAAGCTCTAGATGCTGTTCAGGCTGTTCAGATCATCTGGGGAATAAAACTGACCTGAGTTTTTCTGCACACTTCCCTGCCAGTTAAGGGTAAGATGATATCTTATGTCTCATTCCAGGATGCTCATAAAATTAATCATTTCCAGTTCAGCTTTTCTATTAAAATCTCTGGAGCCCCAAGTTTGGAAGTTGGCATGGTGAAATGCTGCTGATGTTCCTCTTGCGCTCCTGCAGTGGAATTCATTCCTCTGGGAACAGCTCTAGTGAGAAAGGAGGCTTTGAACTCCTGGTTTTGTACATTTGTGTTTTCCTGTAAAATGTAAGAGGGATGAAATAAGGACAATTTAGTAGAAATATGCAAACGTTACTCCAGGAACACTGAACTGCTGTATTAAAAACAAGTTAATAAAACCCCATGACTTAAAATCCTGTAGCAGAGATACAGTGAGGGACAAAACTGTTAACTAATCTCCCTTGGTTGCCTTTATAATGATGGTAAAATTAGGTTTCTGCTAGAAATCACCCTGGAGAGGACTTTATCTCTCTCTCTTAACTATAAAAAGTGTCTTGTTCATTAGCCTCAGTAGGCTTATGTTAGCTTTTGTGAATATCCCCATTCTTCTCTGATATTGCACAGTATGCATCAGCTATCAACCCTACTTGTTTCCCTTTCTTACGCTGAGTTTTCTTCGATTCTACTTCATTCACGCTAGTAGGTTACTGTTCTTCTCAGCCATGGTTGCCTTTGAGTTTGAATTTTTCTGGGTCCGTATGTAAGGACTGGTAAATTCTTGCACGTCTTACGGATAATGGATCTGAACAGGCTGCCCTGGTTCATTGCTGGCCGCACACTTGGATACTTTATAACTCAGAAAAACGTTCATTTTCCTATAATGTGTGTTTGTGTATAAATAGCAGAATTCATAGAAAGAATGACCTTGTGGCAGAGCGAGATGTAGCTGTTGACAGAGCACACGTGCAGGAGACCAGAATTCAGTCCAGAGTGATCTCCAGCAAGTTGTTCTGCGCCTCAGTTCCCCATCTGTAAACCAGATTTGTTACATTGGGGAGAAAAAGAGTGAGCTCAAGCCCGTGTTATCCAAAACTGTCTGGAAACAACCCAAACTGACTTGAAAATCCCTCATAATTAGGAGCTCTCTCAGCCACTGTAGCCCTAAGAGGTTTGACACAAAACTGGAAAAATTCCACAGAGAACATTTTGCGTAAGAGTATTAATCATAACCTCAGTGTAATTAAGGACAATTACAAAGGTCACAACTGGAACATTTTATTGCTTCAGCTAATTTTCGAAGTGCTTTCTACCTCTAGCACTGGAGGTTGACCGCCCGGCAACCTTCGTACAGTGTTTTTAACTATCCCAGACTAGTGCCATGGATACAGCCTGCTGAGCAGACCCATCTAATGGCAACGGTGGAGCAACTGGCGTCTTTTCTTCCCACTCCTCCGGGTTTGCTCTCTGACCTTGAGCAAGTCAATTGTTTTCCTTTGACAAGTATTAACCTTTTCTGTAGACAAGTATCTCAAAACTGTGTTTTAGGGTTACTTTTTTATTGTTCTTAAAAAAGCGTTCTGAAACCTTTGAAAGGAAGACTGTAAATTACTTCAGAGTATTAGGTTATAATTCTATTTATCAGAAGCTCAGAACGGTATTAGGCTGTAAATCTATTTATCAGGAGCCCAGTCTTCCTCAAGTGAGCTCTTCAAATTTCAAATTCAGCTACATCATAATTCATTTATGTATTATAACATGACAAATTGTGGCATAATTAGAGTACTGTGAGTCTGGGATTCTATTTGCATGAAAAAAAAAAGGAAAAGATTAGAGGAAAAGCTGTTTCATGCTGATCTTCTAATTGTCAATCTTTGTTTAGTTTGGTGCTTGAAAACTGAGGAGCATTGAGAAATGTTTCAAATTAAAAGCTCAAAATATTTTTTTTTAAATACAGTAGCAGAATTCTTAATTTGTTTAATCACTTGCTTAGACTTTTTACTGAAAACATTTCCCAAATTTAACATAAATTAGCAAAAAGGACTTGAACTGTATTTGATCTTTAATGCAGTTTCTGCTGCTGCTTACCACTCTCCTCCTCCTCAGACCAACCTTATCTACCACAGCTTGTCAGAGCTATGGGCTTTGAGCGTCATCCCATATTGAAACCAGTCAATTCCATTCTAGGTTTGCAAAAAGATGGTTGCTACGTGTCAGGCTTCACCTCATCACTTGAATAGACTTTACTGGTTTCAGTGGACTCATTGTTCCACAATATCCTTGAGTTAAATAGCATGTTCTTAAAATGTTTGTAAATATTAGAAAGGAATTTCTCCGGTCTTACCAAATTTCTTCCAGAATTCTAGACTTCACTGATGGTTTTTATTTGTCTGAGTCAAATGCTGACTGTCTTGGGTGTTCAGATAAACTTCAGCTTTAATTTTCCTTTGATTGGAATAGGACGATCCTACACTGAATCAGCTTTTAGATAACATGTATTTATAATCATAGAAAGAAATCCACTCTGAAAGTCATAGTGCCAAAACCAAAAAAAGGACCTTTTCATATGCCAGGACATTACAAAAATCCCAGCAGGGCAGTAACTGAAGGGTCACTAACCTCACATCATAATAAAGAAAGACAGAATACCATGGTCTACTCATTGCAGCATCTAATTTTAAATCATAGCCACTTTTAGGAAGGTAGACTATGTTAAAAAAGAAATATGTTTAATGTCTGGCACAGAGATTTTAAGGCTTAAGGGAAATGTTAGGGTACCCAGTCACATAATTGTTCAGCAGACCTTTTCTCATAAGTAAGCAGAACAGGTAACATAAGAGGCACAAAGATTTCAAGTGCATGGCAAAGGTCACTGGCAGGACAGGAGCAGAACCCAGGGCTGAGTCTTTCTAAGGTCTGGTCGATGTTGCTGCTCAGAGGACGTGAGGATTGAAGTTAAAACAGAATCGATGGCATGATATACTTTATCTTGTTTGACAGGACATTATCTACTCAACTGCCCAAGACTCAAGAGGTCTTTATTTAACATTTTTTTCTGATTAATGGATGATGCACAAAGCCACATACTTAAAGAAAAGAGGAAAAAAAAAATAAAAGAACAAAGAAACAAAAAAAAAGAATCCAAATCCAACATTTTTTTCTATACTCAGTCCTAGTAACACAGTTATTTTTCCTCTCTGACAGAGGATGAACAAGAAGATTAAGACCTCCACTTGCCGCCCTTTCTCCCATCAGCTCCATTCCTAAAAGGGTTCTTTGCCTTCAAAAGTCCTGTTGTCAGTTCTCTTCTAGAACTGAGTTTTTACGTTGTGAGTCACATATCCTTTTGCTGTGTTGAAATGAAATGTGCTGGTTTACTATCAACAGTGAATATAGGACATGTCATAAAAGAA